GCTGCACCTGGGGCGCTGCGTGTAGTGACTATAACTGGTAGGTGTAGTAGCGAACCATATTGGGTCTAGATTACTTTAGTGATAGAGCTGAGTGTCGTGAACCTAGGCTGGGAGCTGGTGGTCTTTGCTGTTGGATTGCTTGTCGTCTGTAAGCACTGATAGTGGGGTGACGGCTGGAAGGCAATCTTGTCATTGTGCTAGCTAGCCTTCAAGTTTACTTGATGTACTCAGATCGCTGTGAGGGTAATTTCCCTTTCATTAGGTCGACCCTGTTTTGCATGACACTCTGTGTTATTTGTGTGAGGGCTATCACTATTTAGTGAGGTAACCCTTGGGTTGTAGGCTAGCTGTGTTTAAGTTAGTCGGGTGGTTAGTTAACCATGTGAGGCATATTGTATTGCCTTGTGAGGTGTATTGTGTACATAAACCTTGTGTGATTTATATACCTTATTGATTTTTATTGCAATAAATCAAATTATTGGTTATTGTCCTTGGAAATCCTGTGTCACTGTGAGGTTTATTTAGGTTTCCCTGTGTTTCATTACTGTATTACCAGATAAATCCAGTCTTTCCTAATTGGTGGTAAACTTCCACCCAACGAACTGCTCCTAGGCTTAGTCCGCTGTTCGTTAACTGATATCCCCCCTTGTGTCAGGGTAGCCGCTCATCCTTGCTCAAGGTTAATAAACATATTTGTGGGGTTGGGCCAGGTCAATTCCATCCCTGATCCAGCCGGTTACTGGGTCCACCACAAGAGGTGTCAGTTACATTCGCCACAATATTTATTTCAGTCCATTGACTTAGTTCACATTTTTGAGGCATCATTTTGGTTACTCAGCTACATGTATCTTCGATCATCATCAATGTTACACCAAGGAAAGACCTTGAGGCAAAGATGATACTAAAAAATTATGTCATGATGACGTCATCAAGTGTTTTTTATCGAATTTTTAATATTTGAATATTCCGTTAAATTTTAAAAATCCATATAAAATTGACCGTGGCTTCCCGCAACATTATTTTTGCACCAAAAACCAGAGTAAAATTGGGCCTTCAATTCATCTCGTGTGGGTCAAATCACTTGACCTTTCCTTCCGGATGAAACCGGAAGTGGGCTTATTGTTTAAAAGTGGTAATGGTATTAAGATCTTTCAACGATATTAGTCTGTCGGTGTAAGTGCTGAGTTGAAACCTTGCTTATATCTTGGAAAGGAAGTGCTTTAGGCAAATATTGAGCTCATTTAGTGATGATATCACAGTCATCAAGTCAGATGACATTAAAGGGGCACTATTTAAAATGCTGAATCTCCTGAAGTATATGTCCTATTGGAATCAAACCGTGCAGATATCTTGGAAGGGAAGTGATTTAGACGAATATTGACCTCATGTGATGATGATGTCATCAGATGAGAAGTCACGTGACATTAAAGCGGTACTATGTAATACGCTATATCTCCTGAAGTATATGTCCAATTGGGTTCAAACCTGGCAGATATCTTGAAAGGGAAGTGATTTAGATGAATATTGATCTCATGTGATGATGCATCATTAAGTGACAAATCATGTAACATTAAAAGTGCACTCTTCAAAGCGCTATGTCTCGTGAAATACATATCCGATTGGGTTCAAACCTTGCAGATATCTTAGAAGGGGAGTACTTTAGAGGAGTATTGACCTGATGTGATGATGACGTCATCAGGTGACAAGTCATGTGACATTAAAGATTCCCTCCCACAAACACTTCCACTTCTTGTGAAGTACATTTTCGATTGGGTTCAAACCTTAGAGATATCTTGAAAGGGAAGTGATTTACACACATATTGCCCTAACGTGATGATGATGTCATCATGGGACAAGTCATGTGACGTTAAAGACGCAGTTTTCAAAGAACTGTACCTCTTGAAGCACATATTTTGGTTAAAATTTATATGCAAGTGTATGAATATAAACAATCTCAAACATTCTGTGTTATGCCAACAAAGCACTTTTCTTCACAACCGCAAAAAGGCAAAAAAGCCCTGTGTTCTGTCCTTGAGACAGACACAATTCCTCTAGTCTCTTTCTTCTTCTGCTCCAAAGCCTATTTGTTTTGTGCTCATTTTTTCTGTACACAACTTTAGTGCTTTTGCAACATTGGATCTTCACCAAACTTGTACCAATGAAGGACCCTTATGCACAGATGGTCCGGGAACAATGATGATGATGTCATCAAGTGATTTATTATCGGATTTTGAATATTTAAATATTGCGTCTTTTTTTTTTCAACCCATATAAAATCAACCGTGGCTTCCCACAACATTCTGTTTGCAACAAGAGCCAGAGTAAAAAATGGGTCTTCATTTCATCTTGTGTGGGTCAAATCACATGACCCTTCCGTTCGAAACCAAAAGTGGGCTTATTGTTTAAAAGGGGTAATAGTTATCAACTTGCTTTCAACGTTGTTAGTCATTGGGGGTATAGTATACTTCAAATCATCTACCTATGGCGTCACGTAATTGTTGAGCGCCCTCTAGCGACAGGTTGAAAATTCTGAAAAATGAATTTTGAATAGATGTCTGTGTAGAAGTTTGTCCGAATCGCCTGGAAATTGATGTGGATGGTGATCTTTTCCCACTTGACCCATGTGTGACATTTGGTGACGACGTCAGACCAGAAATGATGGTAAAAAGTCCTTTTATTCTTCAAAACTCAGTAAAAAAATCAACCATAACAGATATAAGCGTGAATTGTCCATTAGATGACAGCTAAAACATTGGACTCAGCTGCATGAAGTGCATAAGGGGTGTACTTCTTCACACAGATGAAGCGCCGACAACAAAAACCCCTTGCAGTATAAATTGGGAACTGGAAAATTCTATTTGCATAGTGTGCATTGGCTAATGTGTGCCTTGATGCCCAATATCTGCCTGTAACGTTGTCAGCGCACAACGCATATGGCATATACTCGGGACCTGGCACATTGCCGCACACATGGTGTTGAGAGCAGATCGCATTGTAATGGAATGCCAAAAGGAACAAATGTTTAAAATCTTTAATCTGCACTCTTTCCACAATAACAATAATGTTTTGTATTGTACATGTGTGATTGGGTTGAAACCTTGCAGGTAATTAGGAAGGGATGGTTTATAAACAGAATTTGACCTCTCGTGATGAAAATGTCATCACCAGATGTGTCACGTGACATTAAAGGTGCCTCCTTTTATATACTATATCTCCTGAAGTGTATGTCCGATTTGGTTGAAACTTGGCAGGTATTTAAAATGGGAGGTGTTTTAGACGAAATAGACCTCATGTGACGATGACGTCATCAGATATCATGTCACATGACATAAAGGTCCACTCTTCCAAGCGCTATATCTCACGAAGTGCATGTCTGATTGGTTGAAACTTAGCTGATATCTTGGAAAGGAAGTGCTTTAGGTAAATGTTGACCTAATGTGATAATGACGTCATCAGGGGAGAAGTCACGTGACATTAAAGGTGCACCAGTTAAAACTCTATATCTCCTGAAGTTAATACCATTGGGTTGAAGCCTTGCATATATCTTAAAAGGAAAGTGATTGAGACGACTTAGATGATGCCGTTATCAGTTGACAAGTCAAGTGACATTAAAGTGGAACTCCTCAAAGCCCTATATCCTGTGGCATTCATGCACCATCGGGTTAAACTTTGCGGATAATAAGAAAGGGTAGTGAAGATTATTGAACTCGTGGTGATGATGTCATCAGGAGACAAGTTACGTGTCATTAAAGGTGCACTGTTTAAAGCCGCGTATCTCCTGGAGTACATATCCCATTGGTTGTTCACAAGATGACCTCTCGTTCTAGTTGCCTTTTTCAGGCTTTCTCCATAGAGTTTGTACACGTTTTCTTGTCCCACAGGACTTTGATAGTTTCATACATCTGATTGACTTCAAACTCGGCAGACCCTCAGACAATCATCCGTCATGATGGCGTCATCATGTGATATATTTTTGAATTTTCACTATTTAATATTTTGCCATAGGGTTTGTACGTGTTTGTCTACTGCACTCTACTATCGAGCTTAATTAATGCGTGAGCAGTCCTCAACTTTGACCGAAAATTACTACCTGAGCGAAAGAGAAATGAGATTAAATTTTCCCTTTCGTTTGATTACAGATATACCCAAGAGTCAAAATATCAAGTAATCTTTCATAAAATGTCTTCAGTTTAAACGAAAGTCAGGTGACATGAACTTAAAGGAGCAGTGTTTCTGCATGTTGTTAGCCCATTGACTTTGTACACGTTTTCAAGCCACCATTATGGTCACTTCAGAATGCTCGATCGTTATCAAATTGATAGCAAGATTTGATATAACAATTATATCAAATGGATAGTGTCATGATGATGTTATCATATGATTTATTATTGATTTTTCAATATTTAGTTCAGTCCATTGACTTTGTACTGTACATGTTTTCAAGCCAAAACTTCAAGATGTTTGATCATCATCAAAACAACAGCAAACAGAGACCCTGATACAATCAATCTTAATATATTTAAGAAGTGCAGCTGTTTTTGAGCATGGACAATATTAAGACCAATACCTTATAAATATGAGTTTCGATGACTTGCCATCAAACTAGATTTTGTTTGTAGTGCCACTGGAACAGCAAGGGATAGGAAAAGCACTAATCTAGATGGACTTTCTTACTGTTCTACGTTACAGAGGGAGGCCAAATTATTGAAGGTGGTGGCGACAAATTTGACCACTAATATTTTCGACACTTTGACATTTTAAAAGAAGCCAATTCATGTCTGCAAACCCTATGAGAAATTCCACACACCACCACAAAGGACAAACAGGGAAATTAACTGGGAATGGGAAGTAACATAAGTTCTCGTTAGTCGTAATACAGTGAAGACTGGCGTCCAACCTGAGCTGGAAAGCGCACATGCAAACAATCCTATTATGTTATGTTAGGCCCATATAGATCCAATGATTACTGTACATTGTGTACATGTCTTATTTTTATCTAGGCATACCAGGGTGACTACAGATATGCAAGGGCCTTTCCTGCACCGGCAGAAAGCCCCTTTGTTACAAATGGATTAGAGGCGGAAGAATGGTGGCCAAGGGAAAACGTTCACATGGGGCAGGTTGCCGGGGTAGCCGCCGACCAGTATGGTTTGGTTTATGCCTTCCAGCGAGGAGAGAGACGCTGGCTACCAAGGTAAGGTTTCAACAACCGGTAAAAAGAAGTGAAAAACCAAAGCTAACCTCTGCTTTACTTTAGCTTTAGATCCCACACATTAACAAATACAAAAAAAAATGGAGACATATTCCTTCTAATAATAAGAAGAAGAATAATATGTGATAATAAGCACTTGTAAAGCACAATCTATCTAGCAAACTATTCCGAGGTGCTTTATTATCATTATCCCTGCACATTGGGCTCACACATCATCTGAACATTCCTGAAATCCATCTCAGCTCCCTGGGGAGTATGCTTGCCCGGTGCTGCTAGGTACCCTTACAGGTACCCGTTTACTCCTGAGTAGAGAGAGGCACATAGGGGTAAAGTGACTTGCCCAGGATCACAACATACTGCCATCAACTGGATTCGAACCCGTGACCCTATGAAGCTACAAACCCTAACTACTAGGCCACATGCCTCCCTCTTCTAGAAACCAACAGCTCTATTTTTCAGTCAGTGTAGCATACATTTTGGTGTGTAAACATATCGATACATTGGCTGGAAGATAGAATAATCACAGCGTTAAATGTCTACCAGCAAGCTAATGAATGGTGTATACATTTATGGTTCGACCTAAGAGAACTTTTTATTGTTCACAGTGATTTTGGCAGTGATCACATCTTCAAGAAGAGGAACAGGGCTATTCAAAGTGATGTGGTTCTGATGATGGACCCCGATAGTGGATATGTACTCCATTCTTGGGGGGCCGGGAGGTAGGTATATTCACATAAATTTGTGAGATAAAAATTGTGAGCTTTCTGAATTGTACGTCCGTTTAAAAAAATGTCATATTTCTTTCTATAGATTTTACATGCCTCATGGCATTACCACTGATCACGAGGGCAACATTTGGCTGACTGATGTGGCTTTGCATCAAGTGTTCAAGTTCACTCCTGACGAAATGAAGCACAATAAAATTAAGCCGAGTCTGATACTTGGAGAGCGGTTTCAGCCAGGTTCAGACTGGAAGCATTTCTGCCAGCCCACAGACGTGGCTGTAGACAGCAACACAGGGAACTTCTTTGTTGCAGATGGGTAATTATCCATTTTTTGTGTCTCATTAATCCACATTTCTAAGAGTGTTACTACAGTTTGAGTTTTGACTTAAATTTACGAGTTTCAAGTTCATTTTCAAGTTTCGAGTTGAATTTTCAAGTTTTGAGTTGATTTTTCAAGTTTCAAGTTGATTTTTAGAGTTGATTTTCCAAGTTTGGAGTTACAACATGTGAGTTTTTGAGGTACATTCTACATGTAGATGAAACCCTTACAGGTTCCATGTAGATGAAACCCTTACAGGTTCCATGTAGATGAAACCCTTACAGGTTCCATGTAGATGAACCCTTACAGGTTCCATCTACAAGCTACAAATAATATCACACACAGTGAGGATAAAAGATTGACTCTTGACCTTTCTTCATCATATAAGGAGATTTTGACTGCAAAGCAAAAGGTATTACTACCAGTGTAATGGTAGGCCTGCTTGTAACCTTAACCTGATATGTCCATTTCTAATTGACTCCGTATGTATGCGGATGCAGTGCCATGGGCATCGCCAGAATTTTTTCAGGGGGGAATCACTTTTTGTCCGTTTGATTCCCCTCCCCTTCTCTCCCCCAGTTTTGATTTTTTTTTCAGGTCACGTTATGAATTCTGTTTCTTTTCATCCAATTTTTTTCTTTCTTTTTTTATTTTTGAAGGTTTGTCCTTACTCCCCTCACGATGCCCATCTGCACCACTCATTAATTTCAAGCTCCCATTAGATGAAAATTATGAGAGTATAAATGTCTGATTAAATTTTCCCCTGCATTCAACCATGTGTAGAGAAGGGGCATGGTTTAAACTGAAGTGACCTGGCAAGAATTACATTTAGAGGTGCATTTTCATGAAGAATACGAGTGTGCTTTCGGATCCCCCTGCTTAGCCAGCACACTGAATTGTTAGGCTCCTTACTTCTCAGATGATGTGTAGATGGCAGCACAGTAAGTTACTCTAGCTTCATGTACATGTACCATCGAGTCAACAATTTCTATAGGTCAATCCTGAGACTACCCCATACCGGTGGGGTGCTGTGTCATCAGTTCCTTTTGGGAGGCCAGGTGCTAGGCTTTGGCAGAGAGGAATGAACTGAACTAAAAACTGATAAATCTCTGATCATGATGTACTGGTACCGGTATGAAAGGTTTTACTTCCTGACATCTCTTTAGGCCTGGTTCTTCTACAGAGGGTTCTTGTGCATGTATTTTTCCCATTCTCCAGTCATCAATTGTTTTTTGGGGAGGGGTGGGGGATCATCAATCTCCCCTACTCCTCTCTCGTCAGGCAGCCTGTTCAGTAGCACTTCATGAAATTTCAAAATCAACAAATCAAGTATTAATAAAGCATGCACAAATACGCTGTGTTGATTCACTAGGAAGAGGTGCTAACTAAGTTTGCAACCTTATCTTTTTCTTTCATCTAACAGGTGTGGGAAAGTCAGTGTTCATGACACATGTAAACTGTCTATTTAGCTCAAGACATTGGTGATTATATGAGCAATCTGTGTAGTTACATGTATATATAGCTATGCAGTACTTCAGTACACGTACAGTACATACTCCGTCCAAACAAAATTAATCTACCACTACCAAATCTTCTTGTAGTTTTTGAAAATATATTGTTTGGGGGCATTTGTAAAGGTCAAAATTACATAAAAATGCCAAATTGTGATAGTTAATGTAAAATGAGTTAAAATTTGTTTCTAAGTCTTCCATACATGTATAGTTACAGGTACTTCTCAGGAATGGCGAATAAAGGTTTCGACCCTTCAGCATGCATGAACATCATTTCAATAATTCTGTCACTATGATTTCTGAAGAAAGTCAGTGATTGAGGCCCCAAATTTCCTTATTTGATGTTTGGCCTTTCAGAAACACATACATGTAACTCACACTTAGTCACACTTTAAGGGTTAATTCATCATTCTGGTATTCAACAAAATTGGCATATGTACTACATCATTCCTCCATGGCACATGAACCGGCATTGCCCTGTGGTTTTTTGCAAAGTCGAATGTATGGTGGCCCTGAAGGGACATAAAATTCAAATTTTTTGAGTCGTCTCATTCCCAATACCTTCACTATTCACTTGGCAGGGGCTTATCTTTATGTAGTTGCCATTTTTTTTAGCGTACTTACCCTCCAAGCTAATGGAAAAATATTCACGACGAGTGGTGAAAAGAGTGTACGACATCGCGAAAATATCACCAATAAGTTGTGAATTATCGTGTTGAATTTTTGTTGAATGCCATCACTAGCTGTTATACAAGAATATGCATACAAAGTGTGGCGTTTTATTCCCATGAGCCAGCCAAGGTCTCGCCAGTCTGGGCGAACTGTTTCCAACTGTGGGGAAAGTCACCTGACCTAAACAATCTGCCTTGGCCCTTGAGTTTGACAAGCAATCTAAGGTGCAGGGGTTAGGGGTCGTTTTGGCAAAAATGTATCACCGATCGGTACACAACAATGAGCATGTGCGTAAACAAGATGTTACCGGCAAGATCAACAGGACTTATTTAATAAACTTTTCTTTAGCTTATATAATCACTATATTTACACAATTGGAGTTACTTATACAAGAGTTACAAAAGAATAATACAAAATACAACTACAAAAGAACACTTAAATAATCTGCAAAGTGCCACAAATAATCCACAATCCACAACCTCTAAACCTGTATCTGTAATCCGCACTCCTCACCCAGGTGACTGAACCCAAGGTATCGGTGGATTTCCGATGCTAATTAACTAACCCAAATAACGGGTAACTCAGGGCGCCTGCCGACACTCTGGCTGTCCAGTCTTTCACCGCTTTTCTAGACGGTGACCTTCGGACAACCCTCAACAACTCTGCCCATGACTCTACTCATGGTCCATTCTGACCGATACTAAGAACAGTACACAATGAGTCAACTACGGTGGATATGTTACGCTTTAATTGCTTAGACTGTGGAATCAGTACCTGAATTGCTAGCAGACCAGGCCCCCAGACTGCCTTGAGACTTCTGCAAAAGCTGCCTACGCCGCGCGGCATAGCACAAACTAGACAAAACATAAACTTGCCACCAGTCCTGCACTGCCTTAAACATGTACATTTACATGGGAAATTATGCACAGATTAATGCTAATGTACATAGGTACCAATACTGGTGTCGCGCATTCTCTGCACCTATACAAAGATAAGAATGATGTCATCTTTTAAATGAAACCTAAATTATTGTTGTTATTCACATGTACATGTACTGTATTAAGTTACTCATCCTTATCAAGTGAACATGCCATAGTGCAGGTGCAGGCTTTCTTGTGGAAACATTACCTGGGACGTACCTCCATTTGGGAGAAATATACCCCCAGGCACCGCATGAAATCCGCAGTCACCCACACTTTCTCAACCACTCTGGCTAATCAGTAGAGGCGCTTATAATCCACACCACCAGGGTTTTCTATGTGTGCACTCTGATTTATTCACTCCTACTCAGGTGTATCCTACCTAGGCGTCTCCTATACAGGTGGCGGGAGACTTGAATGCAATGGAACCAACTCAACACTTGTTATTCCACTCACCAACTCGGCTGCGTACCTGTCTGGTAGCTCCGGCTGCCGTGGGGTCCTCAGTCCGGCCGATTACACTAAAGTGACCCAGGAATGCAGGAGAGCGAGTTTGTGAGAGCTAGCTTGTGTGTGTACCAAGACTTGCGAGAGCTAACGTGCAACATGCAGAGTGCGACGTGCAGAAAACGTGCGACGTGCAGCGAGCGCTGCCTTATATACCGCTAGCAACACACGCATTGGCTGTAGCGGCGCGGAGCCACCTCGCCGGGTACCAGCCCTAGACTGGCACTAGGCCAGTGTTTCATTACAATAACATACATGTATGTGTACTACATGTACATGTTGCTCCATCTTTCTAACAAAAGGAACTGCGTCCTTTTCACTATGGATGAATGCTTTAACTGCAGCCTCCTACTACATTACTGTTATTAACAAATATATTGGTACACAGGCCAATACAACTGCATACATGTATAATTCATCTTAGATGGTTCAGTATTTCAAATGCTTTTATAGTTCAAGGCAGATTCACATATGCAGTTTTTTTACTTTTATACTGTATGTTCCTTGTAATGATCCTTTTTGAAGAATTGTTGATAAGGCAGTAACCATTGCCTGTTGTTGTGCACCAGTGTATTGTTTACCCAGATTAGTGGCAATCAGTGTATCAGCATCTTTATTTATATTGTGTTTACCCAGGCACATGCCAGGAATTTTCGGCAGAATTCTGTTGTTTTTTTACATCGACTATTTAATTAGGAGATCAACTCGAAAATTTATTATCGAAACTCAAAAATTGAACTGGAAAGTCAAAAAAGCAACTCAAAACTTGAAAATTTAACCCAAAACCTGAAAAGTCAACTCAAAAAGTTAACTTGAAACTCAAAGAAAGGAAACCATTTTAAAGAGGCGGGTCAAAGGTTTTGCCCAAACCACCAGTTTTCCCAAACCCTCAGCTTTCCAAAAGCATAGTCAAATGAATTGGAGATTTTAAAACTTTGCATAACCACTTGAGAGGCATTTTTATTTTCATATCAATGAAATTTACAGGTACTGTAATAGCCGCATCTTGAAGTTTGCTCCTAATGGGTCTGCCCTGATGGAAATAACTGCACCGTCTAGTGAGTGAAGTTTCATACATAAATTTAAATAAGTTGAGCTGAGTATGTGCATGCTGTATCTGAAGCTTCCGTCTATAAAGACAGAAGTACGTTAATAGGTCTTCAACAGTCACGGTTGCATATAGGTGGGCACTGTGCACACATTGTCAGCAGATGTAGCCGTAGTTCTAGAAGCCCATTTGGAACACTGTGTTACAGTTTGCAAAGCTCCCTCTTGCTGACACAGTGTAGCTTCATTTGCAGGAGTACTGTGGCAGGAATCTCCCCAGGCCAAATCTAAGTTTGTTGGGACCAGTCTAAACTTCATGGGAATATACATGTAGCTGATCTTCCCAAACCCAAGTTTTCTCCAGATGATAGATCACTCAGAGCAACCTCAAGACAAGGGAGCAGGTCTGGTTTGGAGAAAATATACCTCCGATTATGATGATTGTGATTACTCTCTGTGAACAGCACGATTAAACCTGCATAAAAAAATACACCTTGACAACATGACTGTTGGTACAACAAATATGATGATGATTTACTCAACAATAACACCTTTTATATTACATCGTAGATAAAAGGCATTATACTCTGCAAACTATTATTTGTTATACTACGCGTGCATTGTGTTAGCAACATTGGGCTTTTACATTTACATGTATGTCTGTAAACAACAACAGTGCAACCTTTGACCCTGAGCTTGCAACAGCCTGTCATACGCCACAAATTAGTTGCGCGTGCAGGATGGGTAAAAGAGCGCGCTCATTATGCAAAAAAAAGAATTCAAGGATCCAATGAAAACATGCTATGACATATCTGAGCGCGCAGTAAGATGCAAATTGAGCTAGTCTAAAAGAAAGGAGCCAATCAAAAGTTGTTACGTGTAATCGACACTTTCTTCTGGAGGGAAAAATTGGATTTACTAGGCCATTATGTCAGTCATCCATAGAAGATGGAGGGTTTCTTAGATACTCAGGGTTTTAAGCGACGTACAACAATGTAAACCAATGCACAACAATGTTAGCATTGCACTTCCATGTAACCAGTGCACATCCAAGTCAGCAACACACAACAACGTAAGTAATGTACCACTACCCCCAGAACTGTGGGGTCCGATTTCTGCCCCGCTCTTACGAACAAACGTGGGAGCAGGGCGGACGTTGGACCTCACAGTTCTGGGGGTAATGTACCACAGTGTGAAGTGAACCATGCTCGTGCATCAGCAATGCTCACTTAACAAGCAATGCACAATCTGCACCAACAGTATCTGATTACGCTCCAACCTAGTCTTGCTCCAAAACTGGTTTTACTGTTTTGGCCATGCAGGTGCATTGTGCAGGCGACATGCACTGGTGAGCACAGCCAAATAGCAGTACCAGTAGAGGGCACTATATTCACAAGAGATGACCTGTCAGGAAAACAGTCTTGTAAAAGTTGGCAGGCCCACCCGAACATAAATAATAATGTACATACCCACTGCCAAAGACCGCACACCATTATTCATGGTAAGCTAGCTAGCATTGGCATCGGACATAACATAACTTTGTACAGACAGCGCATCAGCATTGCATAACATAACTTGAGTACTACAATGGGTCACACACTCAGCCCTAGCATGGACGAAGGACACTGAAGAAGTTTGATCTGCCAGGCTATAACACCTGGCAAATTGCCGCTTTCTGGCATGCTCGATATGTTTGTAGCCAGAGTGCAGTGAATGCTTGCTATGCACCACCTGTTTCACAACCATAAGCCCCCAATTTGTACCCAATGATAATCGCCACAATTTGTTGCTGGTAATTGCACCTTAAGATGTTGTGTACGGCAGTATACAGGAAGTTGAATATTCATGCTGTCGTTGGTGCCTGGTACGATCTGACAACATCAAACTTTATGCTTGCACAGTTGCTTGAATCATTAGGCTGTATGCCCTATTGAAGTGTTCATGTGCAGTAATTGTTCTTATCAAACACTTTCTTCTTGAGTTATTTTGGGAATGAATAGCCAAGTTGTTTGTAAAATATTGATTTCATTTGAATAATTTTTATTACGGCATTTATTCAAAAGGTATTTCATGCCTGAGATTTCATGATCACTCCTTGTGATGAAATATAGCATTTTGTTTGTTATGAACTTAATTGTCCAGTGGTGGTCAACATGTTGGTAGCTAGTCTTACCCAAATTCGTACAAAGATTTTGAAAACTGATGTTTTGGAGAGGTAAAATAAAATTACTGGAGTGGAGTGCAAAGGATATGACAGCTTGTCAATTTCGTTGTGGAGGGACTTAAAGTCTCTGTGAGGAGGTGAGGTGGGCTGACGGTACAAGATTAAAATACGCAAGACCAGTACTGACAATAGACAACGACACTGTCTTAGGTTACAGATAAGGCGGAATCAGCCTATTCAATGCTCCACTTGTGCCTCGCAAATACACTCGTTTTCCTTATGATGCTTACTCCTCCCCGTCCATTCTCCAACTCCCCTAAAACATTCCCTTTTCATAACATCTCCCCACTTGTTTATTTGATAAAACCCACAATCAAAATTATTTTACATTGTTCTTTAATGCACACAGTCACATCACGCGCAGCTTAGCTGCATGTGCCCAAAAAAGGAGACACCTTATTTATGTAGTTCCCAAGTACATTTACATATTCCTTTACACATGCACTTATAAATCTGTTCACAATTATAAATTCTAATTATTAAAGAATTCTCAACTGTTTGGGTCATGACTCCCAATCCAGTACATTACAAACCTTGCATGTGTAATGGAACAGTCTATCAAAATTAAAAAAAAATTTGATTCACGATGGCAAAAGTAGATCTAATGTTGGAGATTTTTTGCTATTTTTCTAGTCACGGCAATAAGTTGTGGTAAATATTGCTAGGATATTACTGGCCCCACTTTTATAGCTAAGCTACAGGCAGTAATGTGGCACTTTTGGAATGTTTACTTTTGTTTGTCTGACCGGGCGGCGATGATCATTGAGCACTTTAATGTGCCAGAGTTATAACTCTTTGTGTGTCCCTCCTCCATGCCCTAGTAATTAAGCACTGCACAGATTGCACAGCACAGACAACACATCACCATCCTCAAAACTATCCAGAGTTCCATGTAACGAGTTTCACATGACACAGACACCCACACTCTGCACAAATACAATGCACGTACATGTAAAACCTATGGGCATGATTATCCAATTGCAAATGTGCATTCACACACTTCCTACCTACCTACATTGTACAGTTCATTCTTTTTTGAAAAAGACTGGCTTTATGTCTCTACACTTGCTGTTACAGTATGTTTATGTGCTGTTATATATATGACTCCCACATGGCTTAATTTGTAGGCTGTGGAATTGTTGAAGGCTAGTTGTTGAAGTGATACTGTAACTATGTAATTGGTTTATAAGTCCTTGTTAAATTGATCATTGTCAGTGAAAATCATAAGTTAGGTAATCAGTGTTAAACTCGGTGAAATAAATCTTGCTTTGACTGAAAAGACTGGCATAATGAAGATAAAAATACTAGATAAGTTATTCACTGTTGATCTGCTAAAAAAGTATTGTATTGTGGCGGGCATCCCCGGGCCTACCCTGAGTTGATGGGATCAAACCAAGCACTATTAGTGGCAGAGTCGATC